GTCGATTTCTGTACATTTCCGTCCGAGTTTGTGTGAAAAGTTCTATAATTAGTGAGGAAACTCCCGGAATCAGCTGAAGAGAGCGAACATATATTCCTTCACTACTGGGTCGTTTTGTGGTAGGTGCTCGTAAATTTGGAAATGGCGGAGAAGAACTACAGTCACGGCGATCCTTACTTCTGCCGAAATGATGGTTATGTCATCTTTTATAACTCTGAGCTTATCGCGGGGAATTTGGGGAAGAAAATTCTGGGTGGGTCGAAACCCGGCCTGACGTTCGTGTTGATCCGCGATAATTCCCCTGCGGTGGCGGCGGCCTGCTTGGGCCGCTTGTCGAAGCTCTCGGCACGTTGGTTGGGCACGAGAGGTATGTCCTTTGGAATTGACGATGTTACTGCTAGTCCTGAAATTGAGGCGTTTAAGAAGGAGCAGGTGGCAGAAAAATACGCGTATGTTGATGAGAAAATTGAAGAGTACAGGAAAGGAAAGTTGCCGTTGAAGCCTGGGTGCAACGCAGAGCAAACTCTGGAAGCTGTGATTAACGGCGAACTGGGAAAGATCAGGAATGTTGTTGGTGACAGGCTGGAGAAAGTGCTGCCGCGATTTAACAAGCCGCGAATTATGGCACAGTGTGGGTCTAAGGGAAGTCCTATAAACCTGTCGCAGATGATCGTATGTTTGGGTCAGCAAAATGTCGGTGGTCAGCGAATTCAAAATGGGTTTGTGAACAGGACTTTGCCGCACTTCAAGAAGTTCTCGAAGACGCCTCAGTCCAGGGGTTTTGTGGAAGACAGTTTTTTCTCGGGATTGAATCCGTTTGAGTATTTCTTCCATACAATGGGAGGGCGAGAGGGGCTTGTCGATACGGCGGTGAAAACGGCTGAGACCGGGTATATGCAGAGGAAGCTGATCAAGGCGTTAGAGGATCTGGGGTTGAAATATGATATGACGGTGAGAACTAGCGATGGCACGGTTGTACAGTTCGTGTTTGGAGACGATGGGCTGAATCCAGCGATGATGGAGGGGAAGAGCAAGCCGTTGAATTTCGAACATACGATGAATCATGTGCAACATGTGGTGGAGAAGCACCATACTAGAGAGGTTGCTTTGTTGCCTAGCGAGTATAGGGCGCTGACGAACGAGTTGATACAGCAGGTGGATCAGGAGGTCAAGTCCATATGTCCGCTGACGTCCCTGGACACTAGCAGGTTTACGGGAGATCTGACTGAGTTCATCGGAGGTATGGCAAGCGAGATGGAGAGGGAGAGAGTTAAAGTTGGGTTACCAGTGGATGACAGGGTTCGGGATGATCCGAGGGAAAGCACATTGTGTGATCTGAGCTGTGCTCTGACGGAGGCTCAGTTGCGGTCCTTTATGACGACGTGTGCGAGGAAGTATAGGAGGGCGTTGATGGAGCCTGGCGAAGCGGTGGGAGCTACAAGTGCGCAGAGTATCGGCGAACCGGCAACGCAAATGACGTTGAAGACTTTCCATTTCGCGGGGGTGGCCAGTATGAATGTGACGTTGGGCGTGCCTCGGATTAAGGAGATTATCAATGCTGCTAAGCACATATCCACACCGATCATTTCATGTAGGGGAAGGAAATCTTCGCTGTGCGTGGGGAATATCTTTTGTGGTGATGGTTGAAGGCAGTGTGGGAAAGTATACACATTGTCAACTACATGTGTTAGTGACAATATGAAATTCTGAGGAAATACGTAGCAATTGCTGTAAACTTCTTTGTGAATGAACTCTTATGATTAGTGATGAAACTGCCGAGCTCTGCTGAGGAGAGTAAACATTTATTCCAACACTGGTTTCAGGCAAGCTGGAGCAGGATCGAGTTGAAGCCGCGGCCTTTATGGTGAAGAGTAAGATTCAAAGAACGCTCCTTGGGGATATCTGCGAGTATATTAAACAGGTATGTGCTTATTCATACCATCTCTCTCGGAACTTGTCTTACATTAGGTGTACGAGCCCTCTGGAGTGTACCTCATAGTGAAGCTTTGTGGTGAGACCCTTCGTCGAATGCAGTTGGATTTGACTATGGACGAGCTGAAGGAAGCTCTTTGTGCCAAAGGAGCTTTACCAGGCGGACTTAAAATACGACCAGAATGTATCGAATCACGCGGCAAACTGAAGCTGGCCATTAGACCTGCCGGGGCTGTTGACAGTCGGGGAAGAACTCTACCGCCGAACCCAGAAACGCTGTGGTTTGAAGTGCAAGCTCTGAGGAATGCCCTTCCTCAAGCTCCAGTGAAAGGTTTGAAGCAATGCAGTAGAGTAGTGGTGAATAAAGAGGAGGCGAAGGATGGGAGCAAGGACACTATATACTCCTTGTTGGTGGAAGGCTATGGACTTCAGGATGTGATGGGAATCGAAGGCGTTGTGGCGGAGAAGTCTGTGAGCAATCACGTGTTGGAGGTCCAGAGTGTGCTTGGAATCGAGGCGGCCCGGAAATCGATCATGTCGGAAATTGATGTCATTATGAAGCATTTTGGCATGTCGGTGGATTACAGGCATATACAGATGCTGGGCGACTGTATGACGTAATAAGCCGGGGTATCTTAGGTTCAAGCGTGGAAGATACGGATGAGGTACGCTGGTTGATCAGATACCGTGGTGAGACGTTGGGTATCAACAGATTTGGTATTTCTAAGATGAGTAATTCTACCATGATGCTTGCTTCCTTTGAGAAGACCTCTGACTTCCTATTCGAAGCTGCAGTGTAAGTCGCCGTGATTCTAAACTCGGTATTCGCTCTCGCGTGTTTTCTCTCGCTGTGGTTTTACACTAGACCGCTCGGCATGGGACGGTAATACACTCCTCTGTAGAATAGGAAGACTATCATTGTCGGTCTTGGAATATATGTTCGCTTTCCTTAACTGAACTCAGGAGTTTCCTCATTGATTACAGGAGTTTAAATGCGTGTATACTCGGGACTCGAATTTCGAGTGGAAATGTATAAATTCTAATGCGAATTTGTCGAAATTTCCTCAAAAAATTCATATCGTCGGCCACACATCATAGTCTTCGGTTTGAGAGGGGTGGGAGAAAACGTTGTTACAGAGGCTTGTCGATCACACTAAGAACTCCTAGGGTTGAACTCTCTCGATTCAGTGGAAATTAGGCATTGAATTCGGCGACTCGGTAGTTGTTATAATAGTGATCAATTTCAGATTCAACAGACCAGATCCCGTGGTCGGCGTCTCAGAGTCTATCATTATGGGCAATCCTGTCCATCTTGGCACGGGGCTGTTCAAGCTGATGTATGATGTGCCCAAGGAGGAGATGGAGGAAGGTGTGAGTAGAAGGCAACCACTGTTGGCGGCGAGTGGCGAGACGAAGGAACAGAATAATGTTGCTGGTCACAAGAGAAAGCGATTGTGATGAATCATATACTATCTAAAGAAGTCGCTGGGGTGACTTATACGTCCGAATGAAAGTTGTACTGTTGAACACTGCTTGTTTCCAAACTAAAACGTGTTATTGCTGTAGGGTTGGTGGAGGTCCCGGGTTCAATTCCTGGTTCGGGCATTTTAGGTCGTTTTGTCTCGTCCTTAGTAACCTATGAGGCATCGACGTAACCCTCGAGTGTTTCTTGAGGTCAAGATTGGCGCAGCTGCCGGGGGGCGAATCGAATTCGAGCTGTTCGCTGACACTTGCCCGAAAACGGCGGAGAACTTTAGAGGCCTGTGTAATAAGGGGAGGTGGTCGAAAGTTTAGCGGAGCGATGCTAGGCGCGATGCGACGGATTTATGGTATGGCTGAATTGTGGTGATGGATTTTTGGTATGTTTTAGGTACGGGAGAATATGGAAGTGAATTGACGTATAGAAATTCGAAGATATTCAAGTCAGTGAAAGGAGAGGGCCTTCAGGGAGGGGACATAGTGGAGAACGATGGCAGCAGTGGAATGTCCGTCTATGGCAAACCTTTCCGGGATGAGAAGTAGGCAAGGGCGTATTGGCTTTGCCGTTTTTGTGGTTCACGAATTACGTTCTTTCTTATCCAGTCTAGTACCCTGTTATTAATTCCTATAGTACTTCTTTATTCAGTCTACTACTTTGCTGTTCAGTCTACTACTTCCCTATCGAGTCTACTACTTTCCTATTCAGTCTACTACTTCCTAATCCGACCACTTCCGTATCTAAACCAGTCATTGTACTCAGTTTCATCAACAAGCATAGCGGTGCTGGTATCCTCACGACGACCTATCAGGGAGAGGAGCGCAACAACAACACGTCGCAGTTCATGGTCACCTACGCTCGATCTCGGGCATTGGATTTCCATCACGTCCCTTTCGGCCGGGTCACGAGAGGGATGGAGGTTATTCGAGCCATCGAGAAGGTACCCACCGACGAGCGAGACCGACCGAGAGTCGATATAATCATCGTGAAGTGTGGTATGGTTGGCAAAAAGGAAGTAGACGAGGCGTTGGAGGAAAGGAGGGCTGAAGTTGAGCATGGCCGTTTCAAGAGCCGCAAACAGCTCAGAGCTGAAGGAATAGCTACTGCTGCTTCTCTCGGTGGGAATTTTCTATTTCTTTCGTTGAGTCCGTAGAAAATTCATTTTAGGTAAGAAGTTGCTGGATAACGCTGCGGAGACTGAGGGGTCTGTGGAGGACATGGCGATAGACCTAGAGGAGGAGGCGGGTAGTAGCGACGAGTCGGAGGTTGAGGAGATACCTCCTACTCCTGTGAAGGTAGGGAGGGTCTTGGGATCAGTTGGATGAGGCGTGTATGTAGTAGTGGTATTATTAATTCTGTCACAATGGAACAGTGTTGGAGGAATATATGTTCGCTTTCCTCAGCTGAGCTCAGGAGTTTCCTATACAGTGTTGGAGGAATATATGTTCGCTTTCCTCAGCTGAGCTCAGGAGTTTCCTATACAGTGTTGGAGGAATATATGTTCGCTTTCCTCAGCTGAGCTCAGAAGTTTCCTATACAGTGTTGGAGGAATATATGTTCGCTTTCCTCAGCTGAGCTCAGGAGTTTCCTATACAGTGTTGAAGGAATATATGTTCGTTTCCTTCGGCTGAGCTCAGGAGCTTCCTCACTAGTTATAGAAGTTTATATACGAATTCGGGTAGGACTGTACAGAAACCGATGTGAATTTCCCAAAATTTCCTCAGAAGTTGTCGCCAACACAAGTGCGTATTTTCCTACACTGCAATGAAAAATCACAGACGTCGCGAGCGGTGTTTTAACCCGGGTATAATCGTTTCTCATTTCATGGCTCTTGTTTGTTTAGCCGGCGGCTGGCTTTAAGAATAAGAGAGAGGCTAGGATGTTCGAATTGAGACTGAAAATGAACCAGGTGAGCAATCCTTATCTACTTAGTGAGATTTATCTATGCTGATGGCAGGCGAGAGTTGCCAACCAGGACGAGGTGCTGAAGGAGGAGAAGGAAGCCCAACAGGGGGCGCCTCATGAGGAAGGAGTTGAGGAAGGAACGGTAGGGAGACGGAAAAGTAGTGCTGGGGGTAGCTGTGATGGTTGGGGAAAGTTATCTGTGTGTGTGTTCTTTAGAGTATAAGAAGGGAGAGGATTGGGACCATACGAGATGGTATCTCACTGAACAAGCATCGATGGCTGAGGCACGTGCTGAGAAGAAGGCTAGAAAGGGCAATAACCATACCTTTGGGTGGGAGGTCTTCAATGAGGTGGGACTGCGGAGTTCAGATGGGCCTGTTTTGAATCTTGTCCGCTCAACCTCAGGATTCTCTCTATCGAGCTCATGATAAGAAGCTTGGTGATGTACAGTTTAATGAAGTGAAGTAAGTGAGTGTAACATGAGTTTGTCTACCATCGTGGGCATCAGATACGAGAAGCAGAAGGAGGCTATGGGCCAGGCTTTCTATGATGATACTGATCTGGTCAGCGCGAAGCCTTCTGAGGAAGGGAAGCAGCGCTTAGCTGAAGCCTTGAAAAAATCTGAGGAGAAACGGAGGGCGTTCTCGAGGTGGGAGTGGCAAGGGCACTTTAGTGATGGAGAGGATTGGCTCGTTTTAGGCGGCGTCTGGCTAACCCTGATGAGGATGTTGATTACATCAACGCTCGTAATCAGCACTTCAATAGGAAGATCGAAAGGGAGTTCGGCAAGTATGACGAGAGGCGCAGGTTCGATCCCGGCATGTGTCATTTTTACTCAGGTACACTAAGGAGATCAAAGCTAACCTTGAAAGAGGAACGGCTTTGTAAGTTCGTCATTGCGCTCGTTGGCATCATTAACCCTGTCTCTCACCAGCGTTGAGTTGATACTCTACAGTAACCCTTTTCAGCTAGTAGTTGCGGTTTTTACTATGGATCCTACTTATCATCGCACTCCTCTGGGTCTGTTGCGGCTGTGGACGGAAGTGCCTTCGACGATGCCTCAGAATCCTGAGGAGCTCCTCAGACTACTCCTTTCCTGGATGGAGGCTCCTGATCCGACCAACCGAATCGCACCTATGGCCTTTGGGTTGATGATGCGGATTAAAAAAGACTTCTCGAATACTCTCACATTTGACTGTTATCTCCTCGCTGAGTACCTGCAGAAAATTTCAAAGTCGAATGCTCATCTACAGGCGTGTCTCCTCCTATTGAGACCAGAGACTATTGCTGTAACTGTACAGGCCTTGTTGCTGGCATCAGAGGTCGAGAGTGTGGAAGATATGATGGGATTGTGGGTGAAATTGATAGCAGTTCCGGCGATGCCTCCGCCTAAGTACGCGATGGCAATGGTCAATATGGATCGATGGAGCAGCCCGTATCCGATGTAGGCCTCGAATGGACCTATTCTGTATCTTGCATGCTGGAACCTTAGATACTCTCTCGTGAGCACCTTTTTCCGTTGCGTCATTCGACAGTGTTATTCGGACAAATCGGCTATCAACGGCGGAGCTGATTGGAGGGTGATGACTGAGTCAATGCTGAGGACACTCTCAGCGAAGCTTCATGACCCTACTACAGCAGTCGATGGTCTAAGGCAGCTCCTCATGATCCTTAGGCCTGCTGGGACTTCCCAGAATGGTGGTCGTGGTCAAGGCTCGATACTGCTTCATGGTGCCGTGGCACAGATCTTCGACGCAAGTCTGTTGCCTTATTACGAGAGGTTGCGAACACTGTGGGAGGCTGGGCAGGTTGACAGTCTACCGCCGTTTGCTCTGACTCTGATGACTGAGCTCATAGATCTTATACGGCCCTATGTTGGTGACATGACCCCTCCTTATGGAAGCGCTCAGGTCACTACTGCTGCTATGCTGGGTTTACCACCAACAGCAGCACGAATTAGTACCACTCCTCCCCCTATTCCTGGAGCTGAGGAGAGGCAAGGGTCGTTTGGCATGCAGACGGGTCCGTTGCCGACGGGTGCGGCTGTGATGGCTCCTACGAACTACCTACTACCAGTTGTGGGGGATCTGGGAGTGCCTTTGCAGCAACAGCAGCATCAGCAACTCGTCCAGCCTCCGACTCAGACGAAACCACAGTTGGTGTATGTGACGGGAAGTAATGGAGAGACGGTTAAGTTCAGGAAGCATATGGTTGGCATACAGAACTACAACAATACGTAAGGGAGGGGGAGAGGGTTCTCATAGGAATAGAATAGAATGGTGGGGTTGTTATTCATCGCGGGTTCGATCCCCGGTCCGGACATTTTTTCCGGATATCCGACAGTCACAGCGTGGGACGCCAGTGAGTGGGAGTAAGTGGAACATCGTAGTTTTATCGGAATACATAGACCACACGCTCTCGAGCGATAATCCAAATTGGCATTTTCAACAGATGCATAGAAAAGCCTGGCAGTGGCTTACCTTGGCTGTTGGTATCAGGTGCTATCTCGGAGTCTTCCTCCAGATGTTGTTCTTGACCGACGCCTTTTGTTCATCTGTCTACGGCTTTCAACTGCAGGAAGGGGAGGACCTGAAGGATGAGGACTATGAACAAGGAAAGAAGATTCTCGATGGGTTGCGTTTGCTGTTTGCGAGGATGTTGCTGACGCCGTATGCGTATGTTGAGATCTCGGACTTTATCAAAGTTTTACCCCCGAGTTTTCGGACGGGCGAGGAGCAGGACACTACTGAGAGCGCTCGATGGATCCTGGACAAGCTGGGAGGGTAGGTGGTCCAGGGATGGTGACACGAGTGATGGTGACACGTGTTGGTTAGGTGCAAACAGAGATTAGTTGGAGATATTTTCGCCTTGGAATTGGTCCATAAGACTCAGTGCCAGACGTGTCACACTATATCGACCCGCTTGGAACCTTGTACCGATATTGGTCTCAGCGTGCCTCGAGAAGCTGAAGTGTTGGGTCAGGGGAGTCTAGACGTGAATGGGCTCCTCAAGACATGGGCGGAGCCTGAGGAGATGACGGGAAACAACCAGTATAGTTGCGATAACTGCGGGTGTAAGAGAGATGCCAAGCGATGGGTTGAGCTGAGCAGCGCTCCGCCGACGCATCTCATTTTGGTTCTCTATCGTTTCTCCTTTGATATCGACAGCTGTGAATTTCAAGAAGGAGAAGACGGTTGTGTATCCGGACATGGACGACTTAGTTTCGGTGGAGCCAATTACGAGTGCTATGGATCTATCTTGCATAAGGGCGAGACTATTCAGAATGGCCATTACATTACGGTGGGACGAAGGTCGGAGGCCCCTCGAGGGAAGTGGCACGAGTATAACGACTCGGAAGTGACTGATATTACTAAGGAAGAGGTCAATCGATTATTGAGCGGGTTAGAAAGACCGAATACAAGCGCCTATATGATATTCTACCGCATGAAGGGCTCTAATGTTCCTAGGGGGCCGATGCCTATTGTGGACCCTAAGATCACGGCAGAGGCAAGGGCAGTCGAGGCAAAGGCTGTGCATTTGAATGATTGATAGTAGGGCGCGCCCGAATGATCGATTTGGCGAAGGTCGATAATGCGTTTTTGTAAGATTATTTGAGTTGCAGTCGCATAGTTGAGGCCGCAAGAAAGTTTCATTATGTCCAATCACCGATTATTTGAGTTGTTGGGAAAGGTGGCATCTTCTGGCTTCTAGGGTGGTAGTTGGTTGTTTTTCAGGCTAGTTGAGGCAGTTGTGGTATCGGTATTACAGCCATGGCTGCTGCCTCTTCTACTTTCCATCATCAGGCGCCGGGCTCTTCCGCTGCTGCTTCTGGTGCGGCGGCTACGGGCGGGAAGAGACCCCCTCAGGTTGGGCTGAATTTCAAAGCTCAGAAGTTAGGATTCTATCGCTATGTGGTCTCCCAACTTTACGGTGATGGCCTGATGGACGAGGCAAAGTCCGTGGCGACACGGTTGAATTTGAGCTTACCAGTGGAGCCGAGCAACGAGGAAAATGACAACGGCAATGCTCAGGGAGGTGCTAATGTGAGCACTGATCTTACCGTGGGGGGAGCCATAGAAAAGGATTTCCTTTATGATGTATATGCGGATAGTATAAGAAGGCAGGAAAAGGGGTTTGAAGCGAATACATGGAAGACGATTAAGTGTCGACCCTATCCACCGTTGTCGGCTCATGAGGAGCATCTTGATCTGAGAATTAGTTACAAGGATAGACTGCAGGCCCAGTTGGAAGCTGAGGGAAGGGACCAGCCGTTTAGGGGGAGAGAGGTGGATGAGATGGACCTCGATGACGATGATGATGCTCCTCGAGGAGAGGTGTATGAAGAGGATATGATTACTGAGGAGGCAAAGAGGGTCACTAGACCGACTCCTGTGGTAAGGCTTCGCCTTGTTGTTGTTAACAAAAACAATAACGACGAGAACAACGGTATGTGTGTATGATGGTAGGTACGCTTGCTGTTCACGACACAGCATAAGAAGAAGTTCGTTGTGTGGCGTTCAGCCCGGATGGTCGACTGTGTGCTTCTGGCTCCACCGATACGTCTATTAAGGTGCTGGAGACGGCGAAGATGAGGATGCATGCGGTGGCAGGGGGAGATGCGACACTGTTGAGAGCGGGGGAGAGGGACGATGGACTCAGACCGGTGGTTCGAACCTATTATGACCATGTTGGCACTGTCACCAGTGTCTCATTTCATCCTAGGCAGCCTATACTGTTCAGTGGGAGCTACGACAAGTGGGAGGGGGTGTCTATTACTACTATTGTTTTAGTGTGGTTTTAGGACGTTGAAGGTCTATGACTTGACTAAGCCTAACCAGAATAAGCGAGCACAACATAACGTCGTGGATGTGAGGTTTGGGAGGAGTATTGTTGGAAAGATACGATTCCTGCCTCAGGTGTATCCGATAAATAAGGTTCAAGTTCACCCATGTGGCGACTTTGTTTACGTTGGTACTCTGCACAGAGTCATCCGTCTCTACGACACGAGGACGCTCCAATGCTTTTCTGCCTACTACGGTGGGGGTTCGGGCATTGGGGGCGGTGGTGGACAGCATCACAACGGCAGTGTAGGGCTTGGGGGAATCTTCGCGGTGCGTTCATGGTATCTTGTTAGGTTTTGGATATCGCATGTGCGAGTGACGGTAGCGTTTTTGCATCAGCAGGGAGTGATGGTAGGTGAATCTTGCGATCTTGCATTTTCTCAACGCCAGTGTAGGTCATGTCCATCTCTGGGACGGCGTGTCCAATCGTCTTATCAACAAGCTGCATGGAGCGCCGGGTGGAGGAGGATCCAGCCTGAAACCTCACTCGGGGCATCCGGTGTTCACCGTCCAATGGAGCCGCAACTGTCGTTATCTCCTTACGAGCGGAGGGGACCATCGAGCAAGGCTGTGGGACATGAGGACGGGGAAGGAGCTTATGGTGTATTCTGGTGCGACGACTTCTACGGACTGTTCTTTCATGACAGCCACGTTTGTTGGGAATGAACAGTAGCGTCACTGCGCTACGAAATTATGTTCATGGGATATGGGCAGGTACATTGCTACCACCTCGTCGAGAATAGGAGAGTCTGATATGTGCCTCCTGGATTCTCTCACTGGTAGACCATTCAATACTTCCTCTATTCCGGACGGTGTGGTATCAGGTGATGTCCTCGTTCCTGCTGTAGGAGGACACTCTAGTCCAGTGAGAGCTGTTGCCGCATCTCCTGTCGACAAGACCATCATCACGGGTAGGTTGGGGGTGGTCGCTCGTATTCCTCGCGAGCCCCGGGAATGAGAAAGTCGGGTAATGGTGCAAAGACTCGGTCCAATGCAAACTAATAGCACTATACTCGGGAAGGTCGTGAAGTTGCTGATACACCAAATTCGTTCCTTCATGTATGGGTCGTACAGTGTGGCTCTTTGTAAATCCAGCAATCGTTAGTGATGGATACTCTCATCTCAAAAGGAACTGAGTATAGATAGAGTCGTGAACATATTGATTATCAATACAGTAGATGGTACCCTTGTGATCATCTTCAGGCTGCGATGACAATAAGGTTAGGTTCTTCGACATCGTCAAAGGCACCAAAAACATGTAGGGCCAGGGCCTCATTCGCTCGCTGGATTGGCTCTGGTCTGTCTAGATACGAGATGGAGGAAGAAGGTATCACGGGGATATCTCAAAGTCAGGCAGCTGCTGGTATGGACATGGACGAGACTGGTGCGGCTGTGGTGCCTCCTGAAGGTGGCGCGGCTAGAGGTCGGTCCGGATCAGAAGTAACGTTGTTCGATGTTGTGTGTTAGGCTTCGTCGAGCACATTGGTACTTAGTGTTGTTATGGCCGCTGTAATGTACGTTTCATTGACGATGTTGGTTCGTGTTCTCCCAAGTGTAAAAGAACTGTTAAAAGGCATGTCGGAAGGTGAAGAAATGGCAATTGTGATGAGACTCTTGTGACCTCTAGATAGGCTAGTGGGAAGCTCGTCCGGTGTAAGCTATTCTAGCAATATCCTTGAGGAATTCATTAGCCGAATGGGGCCGCGATGCCAGCGGTATATATCATTCAGGAACCCGTTTGGCGGATTGGGCCACTATGCCTGCGGCATAGATCATTCAGAAATCTATTTTCCGAATGGGGCCACTATGCCAGCGGATAAGTAATCCACATGCACGAGTACGGATATCAATTTGGCGCGCGGGTTTACTCGATTATATCATATGTGAATGACTCATTCAGAATGAGGAAATCGGTTTATTGACGCGGTTCTAGTAAGGATCTCAATTGTGCGAATAAGGACCACCATAGACTCCTAAACCAACAACTTGATCTACCCTGAAAAGGTCAAGAGCGTACACCGTGTCTCTTCTATGTGAGGAAGACTTGTCCATGGTAAGAGAAGGGTGATGGCTCCAGGATGCGGAGACCAGATGAGTCCTGTCTTTCATTATATACGAAACAATCGCTCAAAGGCTTTGGCAAGCGGACAGGTTAGGAACTATAGCCCCAAGTAGAGGAACTCTTCTCCGTTGAGGGGGACTTGAAGCCCATAGTGCTTGATCGGTCTCTCTCACTCTCACCAACACTATCTCGTCGCCACTCTAATATGTAACAGCAAAATCAGCCAAGTATTGTGTTGTTTAAAATCCTCATTCACATTGTGCAACAAGAATCGTCTTCGCCGTCCCTATGACGGTTGTAATACAACTCAAGACTCTTAACCGTCGAAGTATACAAAGGTTCTAAATGATAAACTTCATGACAAGGTAGATACCACAATAGAGCTTTACGCAACTCCAATGATGTCGGGAATAACCGCAACAATAACAACCACAACCATAAATTAGTTATGGACTTGAGTCCACTAAATTGACGCTAGGACACAATTATGGAGACTAGAGACACACACAAGATCACAATAACTTTCTATCAATTATTTCTATAAAAATGCCGTTACCGGCAAATCCCTCTACAAAGAACGTAGGAGCGAGATCCGACCTGCTCAGGTAAACTAATCGGGCGATGAAGCTAGCAATTTTGATTGATATTCAAGTTGAATACTCTTCCGAAATGGTTTACGCGGTAATTGGTCAAGCCGTCAGGATGCGTGAGCGGAATTCGGATTGCTCAGATACAGCCGTTGCAGTAAATCCAAGTAATACTCTCATGGATACCAGTATCCATCGACTCAACCTCACAATGCATGGATCTGCGTGCAGCCCTGTCCAGCGCTTGTTCTTACCCTTGCTTGTCCCTGATTTGAGCTGCCGTTGGAAATCAGCCTCTGATTCCTCACGACCAGGAGCCGATTAAAGTGCTAAGGCGTTCCGAGTTCCGAGTCGAAGTACTCGGTTACCGAGTTCCGAGCCTTGGAAACCCCACTCCGAGAGTCCACGGATTAAAGTGCGATACCTCGGAAAAGTCGATTTCCCGAGGGCTTTTTCCGAGAACTCGGACCGAGTCACTTTCCCCGAATTAAAGTGCACAACGGCATCACGAGCTCGGTCTCGGAAAAAACACGTAACTCGGAAACACTCGGAATCTGTCACTCGAACTTAGCTGCTCTACTCTGCTCCACTCGAATCGCTGCTCGTGGCAGAATCAATATCCGAGTCGACCACGTCTTCTTGCTCTGCCTTGTGCTCGATGAGGAAGTTAC